GTTTCAATCATCTCAGTAGGCTGTCGTCAAACTTCCATGTCTTAGGTCTTGCTTTTCTCCAAGAGGCCCAAGCTAGGAAGAACTCAAAGTGGTGACTGACAGCCAAAACTGTGGTTTACAGAAGAACCAACACTTCCCTTGTAATCTACTTGCAAAGTTGCAAAGTTTAAATCATGTGACTTCAGTAGTTTCAGAGAAATCGTATCCCCATTGCGGACACTATGCATGAAGTACAATTACATGGATGTAGGGTTGTAACTGTGGAAGGACGGACAGCGGACAGACCGACCGACAAAAAATAGCTCTTATATCCCCCGACAAGCCCTGACTTCATGGAGGGGGATGATAATTAGGGCTGGGACGATACAAAAACTGTGCGATCCGATACGTATCACGATACTTGCATGTGCACTTATCTGTGGTGCGTAAGCCATCTTTTTCATAGACAGGATTGCCAAATACCTGGCACACTAACGATTAACAGTTGGCAGTGTCAGGTATGGCGCAATGGATGAAATTATTTACATTTTCACTACTCATTTTCACTAGTAATGAGTGTTTGGTGTAACACTTATTCAAGAAAATATTTAAGGTAAGAATCAATTCTTTTAACTAAGCGTGAGACTGTGATCTATTCTTGTACCGAGAAGTAAAACAATCATGACCCACCGATGCATTGGTGTATCATCTCACCACTAATGATAATCAGTGGCAAAGAAAGATCATCGACACAAACAACCAGAGTGAACGTGATAATATAACACGAAGATGAGATTGGGAATATGCCATCTGATAAATCCTATAGCATTTCAAAACAAACACATCACCAAAGCCTTAATCATTACTTACAAATTACCATCATACTAATTTGAGAAAACTACTAATCGATAGCTTAGGCATATATATGTTACAGGAAACAAGTATAATCAGTGATTAAGTCTAATGACTGAAAATTTCAGTGATTATGTCTAATAACTGATTCACTCGGTGGTCATGTCTAATTACTGAAATCTTCAGTAATTAGACATAATCACTGAAATGAACCAAGGGATTTTATACTTGTTTACTGCCTATTCCTGCCTTGTTTTTATAATGTGTGCTAGTTTTGAAATTAGATTAGCTATCAAAGTACATATATATATATATCTGTGTGCACAGTAACCATAATGAGCTGTTCATCCATCAGGGACTAAAGACAGAACGTGTGTGTGACAGATATACAGAGCTCCAGATGACTTTTTTAGGAATTGAGTTTTTACTCGAGGGTTTCTATTTTAATTTTGGTTACCGTATTCGAGGTAATAAGCGCCCAGGGCGCTCTCAAAATTAGAAACAGGGGGCTCTTATTAGAATATTATTTTGGTGGAAAAAACAGAGTTGAAAGATAAATTTTGTGGTTTATGCTGACGGTCTGAACTGTTTATATACGACAGATATATTTTTCCAGAATTTGATTGCCTATAATTTAGGGTGCATATAACACACGCGTGCGCATTAAACACGAATATATAAGTCTTGTGTACATTGATCAATCGGAAGGGGTGCTAATTGGGATTGTTCACTTATATATATAAAATATATATTGTCAAATATCGCCGTGGGCACTTATTAGAGCGGGGCGCTCATTACGTCGAATACGGTATTACATTTTTCATTGGGTAACCAATATTTTTTCACTCATCTATTCATCACTCTATTGGGTTTTCTCAAAATTAGTGACCATTCAAAAATAAAGATTTAAAAAAAAAGAAATAAGGTTTTATATGTATATAATTGGTTTAAATATATGGGCTTGACTGTTCAAGTTATATAAATTGATAGTGACAGTAAAGTGTCTTTTTTAAAGACTTTACTTATTTCTGGTTAGCAAAATATAAACCCACTGCTTTTAAAAACATCCCATTTCAAATTTTGGGAGTTGGCAAATTTTGCAAACAAAGTTTCAAAGAATGTCTGGCCTCCGATGATATCGACCACGCGTTGTACTGTGGCTTTACGTATGATCCATTTAACCACAACCTGCTCATTCAAGAAAATCTGAGTAACGGACTCAATCCATCACCGAGTCACCTCCATAGCAACAATGGCATCCTGTGTGCATAGCGATATTAATAGCTTCCCTTCAAGACTGCCTCTAGGGCTACAGATTAAACAGATTATCGGAAGTCAGAACAATGAAGAATTACATTTCTAAAGCAACAGATATGACATATTTACTTAGAACATTTCAGAAAATGTATTGATTAGTTGTATTGAAAGAAGTATCAAAACAAAATATTATTAGTTGTGATGAAAATACTCTTTGAAATTATAGAAAAGATTTAGCTTCAGTCCTGTTCATAGCATGTAAAAATAACTATGAATTGGTTGTATTGAAAGTAGCATCAAAGTACAATTGATAGAGACTGTGATGAAAATGCTCTTGGAAACTATTGATAGATCTAGCTTGTAAAAATAAACATGAATTTATGACAACCCAACACTTACAAGGTCACACAAGGAGTGGCAATATTTTCTGGCTGACTGCCAACTCTTAGTTCGAAGACGTAGCTCATGAGACGTGTGCATGACAATCGTAACTCAACTTTATCATCACTTGTGACGCACCGTGATCGTGGAAACACCCAAACAATAAAAAAATTTCCCCCAGGCTAAACCTAAACACATGGGGCTCTGAAGCTCACCTGCAAGCTATAGAATTGTCCTTTACAGTGAGTGTTTGTATGCTTGTTTGTTTGTTTGTTTGTTTGTTTGTTTGTTGTTTAATGCCACACTCAGCAATATTCTAGCTATATGACGGCGGTCTGTAAATAATCAAGTCTGGACCGGACAGTCCTGTGATTGATATTATGAGTATCGATCTATGCAATTGGGATATGATGACATGCATCAACCAAGTCAGTGAGCCTGACCACCCGATCCCTTTAGAGATCTCTTACGACAAGCATGGGTTGCTGAAGACCTTTTCTAACCTGGATCTTCACAAGTGAGTGAGTGAGTTGGGTTTCGTTTGAGGCCGAACAGCCTCTGTGATGTTGGAGGAGTGAGTGAGAGAGTGAGTGAGTTGGGTTTTGTTTGAGGCCGAACAGTCTATGTAATGTTGGATGAGTGAGTGAGAGAGTGAGTGAGTTGGGTTTTGTTTGAGGCCGAACAGTCTCTGTGATGTTGGAGGAGTGAGTGAGTGAGTGAGAGATGTTTCACACCACTTTTAGCAGCATAATGTTGGATGAGAGCTGTAACCACCAATAATAACGTGCACATATCAATGGAAAGGCTCAATATGGAATTCAAACTCACTACCAGATCATGGCACAGATAAGGGAGGTATCACTGCACAGTCATCCACTGTATTAACCAGGGATGGTCAGTGCAGTCTCCTTGCACTAAGCATGCTAAGTGATCTTAGCACTGTGTTTAATGGACCAGCCCAGACCCGTCTATCCTGAACTTACCGCACGAGTTGTTCACTAATAATCTGTCTGTAGTGTCAGCTATTTGTCTGTAGTCATTATTTTCTACCATGCAAGCAGGTGAAATCAACCTCACACGCGTTACTATGAATGAATACCTGTCCCTTCTCTAAGGCAGTAAGACATGGCAACATCTCCTGGTACGAGATGAAATTTTTTTTGTATTGCTGTGTTGATTTGACATACAGTTTTAACAGATTAGTCTTAAGTGACATTGACTGACCAAGGTCATTAGCCTTTTGTCTGGCCATTCGGGCCATCTGCTCGATATTTTTTACCTATAATGCAACAAGTATATTTCTGTCATGCTTGTGGTGGAAATAATTTGGTGCCCATCGTAAAACAGACAGTGAACTATGCCAATTTTAAAAAACAACTGTGCACAGATACCTACTGTATTTCGTTTCAAATAAGAAGTAATATTAATTCATCAGTTAAGAACTTGATTTATTATATGCCTGCTGAAGATACCACTGTTTAATAACAACAAGCTGGTATTACACCAGGGTATGAAACTCCCAAAAATGTCAGCCAGACCACAGGACTGGCTAGCTGAAATACTTGCCAGCCCTGACCAAAACCTGCCTGCCCACTATAATCATATGTTTCTCAGGATAAGCTTACGGGGTTTCTTTTGGGTTACATTTTATCATTCATCTTTACATGTGAATTAATGCTTATCATCAGGAAATATTTAGAATATTTTCACATATGAAATATCACCCGACCGTCGGGCAGGGGGATTTGAAAATCTGGCAGCCCAAGTTGAAATCAACCCGTCCCGGGTCCCGGACGGTCGGGCAGGCAGGTATTTCGAACACTGATTACACAGTGTTTAATACCAAAGCACGTGCTAATATGTACTGCGGGAACTAATGTCACTGACAAATAATGTAAACTCCCAATATCCCTAGGCTTATTTAATGACATTGTGTATGGAGATGATAGATCACCGAGATGAGTTTATGCACACCCAATGACCCCAGCAACCCTGTTGCTAGGCTGACGTCACCTGGCATTGTTTTGCCAGTGGATCTTGCAACAAAATCGTAACAAATTACACCATAGGGTATTATGACATGTTATAAACTTTGTGATGCAGTGTCACCGTTACACAAAGCGACTGTAGCACAACGACAATCACAAGTCTATGGTAAAGTATTGGAGTTACAATCACCTTAGCGCTACGATAGCTTTGTGGAACAGACCCCTTAAATACTAAAATTAGGCTGATGTATGGTATTAATTATATATATGTGTCAACTTATAATGTTTGAAGTAATATTCTGTTAAACTCAGTTGGATAGTGCTGTGAATTGCCTAGATGTCTGCCTATTCACACACAACAGTGAATCAGTTTTTTAAAAAGTCGTAAATAGCCAGAAAAAAAGAAGCACTAAACTCTCCCGTGTAAAACCAATTTTATGAAACTTGTGAATAGTTCTGGTATCTGACTCACAAAATAATCAATATTTAAATGATATTCTTAAAATGAACACATTATGCAACAATTTGGTATGCAGTTCCTACCTGACATTCTCGTGGCGTTGAATGTAGATCTTATGGAACATGGAGTCCTTTGGCTTCCCTGCGATGTCTGCCTTCATCTCCATGGCAACATGACGTGGCAACACAGACAGCAGTAAACGTTCCTACAACACAAGAACAAGGTGTCAAGTACAGACAACAACACAGTGTCAAGTACAGACAACATCACAGTGTCAAGTACAGACAACATCACAGTGTCAAGTACAGACAACATCACACAGTGTCAAGTACTGACAACATCACAGTGTCAAGTACAGACAACATCACAGTGTCAAGTACTGACAACATCACAGTGTCAAGTACTGACAACATCACACAGTGTCAAGTACTGACAACATCACAGTGTCAAGTACTGACAACATCACAGTGTCAAGTACTGACAACATAACACAGTGTCAAGTACTGACAACATCACAGTGTCAAGTACTGACAACATAACACAGTGTCAAGTACTGACAACATCACACAGTGTCAAGTACAGACAACATCACAGTGTCAAGTACTGACAACATCACACAGTGTCAAGTACTGACAACATCACAGTGTCAAGTACTGACAACATCACAGTGTCAAGTACTGACAACATCAGTGTCAAGTACTGACAACATAACACAGTGTCAAGTACTGACAACATCACAGCGTCAAGTACAGACAACATCACAGTGTCAAGTACTGACAACATCACAGTGTCAAGTACAGACAACATCACAGTGTCAAGTAGACAACATAACAGTGTCAAGTACTGACAACATAACAGTGTCAAGTACTGACAACATCACACAGTGTCAAGTACAGACAACATCACAGTGTCAAGTACAGACAACATCACAGTGTCAAGTACAGACAACATCACAGTGTCAAGTACTGACAACATCACAGTGTCAAGTACAGACAACATCACACAGTGTCAAGTACTGACAACATCACAGTGTCAAATACAGACAACATCACAGTCTCAAGTACAGACAACATCACAGTGTCAAGTACTGACAACATCACAGTGTCAAGTACTGACAACATAACACAGTGTCAAGTACTGACAACATCACACAGTGTCAAGTACTGACAACATCACACAGTGTCAAGTACAGACAACATCACAGTGTCAAGTACAGACAACATAACAGTGTCAAGTACAGACAACATAACAGTGTCAAGTACTGACAACATCACACAGTGTCAAGTACAGACAACATCACAGTGTCAAGTACAGACAACATCACAGTGTCAAGTACAGACAACATCACAGTGTCAAGTACTGACAACATCACAGTGTCAAGTACAGACAACATCACACAGTGTCAAGTACTGACAACATCACAGTGTCAAATACAGACAACATCACAGTGTCAAGTACAGACAACATCACAGTGTCAAGTACTGACAACATCACAGTGTCAAGTACTGACAACATCACACAGTGTCAAGTACAGACAACATCACAGTGTCAAGTACAGACAACATCACAGTGTCAAGTACAGACAACATCACAGTGTCAAGTACTGACAACATCACAGTGTCAAGTACAGACAACATCACACAGTGTCAAGTAATGACAACATCACAGTGTCAAATACAGACAACATCACAGTCTCAAGTACAGACAACATCACAGTGTCAAGTACTGACAACATCACAGTGTCAAGTACTGACAACATAACACAGTGTCAAGTACTGACAACATCACACAGTGTCAAGTACTGACAACATCACACAGTGTCAAGTACAGACAACATCACAGTGTCAAGTACAGACAACATAACAGTGTCAAGTACAGACAACATAACAGTGTCAAGTACTGACAACATCACACAGTGTCAAGTACAGACAACATCACAGTGTCAAGTACAGACAACATCACAGTGTCAAGTACAGACAACATCACAGTGTCAAGTACTGACAACATCACAGTGTCAAGTACAGACAACATCACACAGTGTCAAGTACTGACAACATCACAGTGTCAAATACAGACAACATCACAGTGTCAAGTACAGACAACATCACAGTGTCAAGTACTGACAACATCACAGTGTCAAGTACTGACAACATAACACAGTGTCAAGTACTGACAACATCACACAGTGTCAAGTACTGACAACATCACACAGTGTCAAGTACAGACAACATCACAGTGTCAAGTACAGACAACATCACAGTGTCAAGTACAGACAACATCACAGTGTCAAGTACTGACAACATAACACAGTGTCAAGTACTGACAACATCACAGTGTCAAGTACAGACAACATCACAGTGTTTACATAACATCACAGTGTCAGTACTGAAAAGGTATCCAAGGCCACTTTCCACAGGTCCCCAAAGCCTGTCAACCCATCCAATTCAGTTGTCTCTCATGACAAGCAGTGTCCATCTGGACTGACATTGCTATGTCTTCATTTCGACATGCTGTGCAGTGTCTTCAGTGTATACTGGTGGGGGGAGTCAGTATGGTTCAACGCTGCCCTCAGGAACATTTCTTCATGGCAGGGAACTATAGAAACAGGCTTCACCCACTACCCATGTGATTAATTGAACCTGAATCATGGACGCTACAAGTCAACGCTTTACCCACAATGCTACCCTATTGCCCCAGTGTATACTGGCCTTAACATGCTTTAGTAGTAGCCTCGTGGTTAAAGCGTCGGTTGATCACACTGGAGACCCGGGTTCAATTCCACACATGGGTACAATGTGTGAAGCCCATTTTCCGCTGTCCACCGTGATTTGCTGGAATATTGCTAAAAGTGGCATAAAACCGTACTCACTCACTTATGCCACAACCCATTTCCTCCCCCCCTCCCAGCCTCAGCGTACCTGTTGTTGGTTTTCCCGCTGCGTGGTGAGGCGGGCCTCGATGCAGCGCCGCGTCTCCAAGAAGGCCTGTCTCTGTGCATACTCTGTGGGGTAGTGTGTGAAGACGCCCGCGATGTTGACGCACGTGAACAGTAGAATGTTGGAGACAGCCTGGAAAACAAAATGAATAAATCCAAACTCACGCAACTACAGCTGGGTTGCCGAAGCCGATTCCTTATTAAATCTACACTAAGTCCTTATAAAAAAGATAATTCTAAATTGAATAAAAAACTGCCCATCCCACAATCCCCTCCCTCCCTTATTCCCTCTCCAGATATTTTGTTTGTTTGTTGTTTAACGCCACACTCAGAAATATTCCAGCTATATGATGGCGGTCTGTAAATAATCGAGTCTGGACCAGACAATCTAGTGATTGACGTCATGAGCATTGATCCACGCAATTGAGATACGATGACATGCATCAAGTAACAGAGCCTGACCACCCGGTCCCGTTTGTCACCTTGCACGACAAGCATGGGTTGCTGAAGATCTTCATGGGTACCCCCCATGTCGGCTGTCGGCACAATCAGCTGTGGGCACTATCAGCTTTGGCACAATTAGCTGTCGGCATTATCAGCTTTGGCACAATTAGCTGTGGGCACTATCAGCTTTGGCACAATTAGCTGTGGGCACTATCAGCTTTGGCACAATTAGCTGTGGGCACTATCAGCTTTGGCACAATTAGCTGTGGGCACTATCAGCTTTGGCACAATTAGCTGTGGGCACAATCAGCTTTGGCACAATTAGCTGTGGGCACAATCAGCTTTGGCACAATTAGCTGTGGGCACAATCAGCTTTGTTTCTGGTTGCTTTGATCGGGTCTAGGTTCTGAGGCAAGACCATCAACCATGACAAACACACAGCGAGTTGTCGTCACAACATAGTGGTCATTCACTCTTGAACCGGACCAAACTAACTAATCTGGCTTCAGATCCGTTACCATGGGTACTGAACAAGTGGAACATCATCTCAACATTATAAACAGCCTCATGCCAAAATGTTTCTTGAAATTTGAGGAAAATCTAATAATTAAGTTATAGTGTCCTTACTCGCAGGCGTATTGAGTACTAAGCACTGGTGCTAAGTCACCAAAACACCCCCCTCTGACCTATGTCGGACATCGAGGAGTTTATTTCAGTCAGTGTAAACACAATGTCTGTTCCTGGTGAGACGGCCTGCGGGAACCCATGACGACGACGACAAGTGGCTGCCAGGGCACTACAACTGATCCGAATGTGGAAGTACTTTCCACATTTAGCCCTCTCCATCCTAACAGAGCTGTGACAGGTCTGTCTGACCTTAAGGCTTTTGTTTTTTCATTCCGCACTTTTTCGGATCAACAAAACAAAACAAATATCTCAAATGTCGAATAACTTTGTATTTCTTACAATCACTTTTCTCCTTCAATGTTTTTGAAAAAAATTGTCAGTAAAAGAGTAAATTGGTACAGAAAACAAATTAGAACTTTGTCAGTCGATGAAACCAGCTTTGTTCCTTGTGGTTTACTTTTCTTTCTCTCTGAGCATCCATACACCTATCCAACATCTACAAAGCATCCAAACATCCATCCCTCCCTCTAACCATCCCTCCCTCTAACCATCCCTCCCTCCAACCATCCCTCCCTCCCGTCCTCCCTCCAACCATCCCTCTCTCCCGTCCTCCCTCCGACCATCCCTCTCTCCCGTCCTCCCTCCGACCATCCCTCCCTCCCGTCCTCCCTCCGACCATCCCTCTCTCCCGTCCTCCCTCCAACCATCCCTCTCTCCCGTCCTCCCTCCGACCATCCCTCTCTCCCATCCTCCCTCCGACCATCCCTCTCTCCCGTCCTCCCTCCAACCATCCCTCTCTCCCGTCCTCCCTCCAACCATCCCTCTCTCCCATCCTCCCTCCAACCATCCCTCTCTCCCGTCCTCCCTCCAACCATCCCTCTCTCCCATCCTCCCTCCAACCATCCCTCTCTCCCGTCCTCCCTCCAACCATCCCTCTCTCCCATCCTCCCTCCGACCATCCCTCTCTCCCGTCCTCCCTCCAACCATCCCTCTCTCCCGTCCTCCCTCCAACCATCCCTCTCTCCCGTCCTCCCTCCGACCATCCCTCTCTCCCGTCCTCCCTCCGACCATCCCTCCCTCCCGTCCTCCCTCCGACCATCCCTCTCTCCCGTCCTCCCTCCGACCATCCCTCTCTCCCATCCTCCGACCATCCCTCTCTCCCGTCCTCCCTCCAACCATCCCTCTCTCCCATCCTCCCTCCGACCATCCCTCTCTCCCATCCTCCCTCCCTCCCTCCAACCATCCCTCTCTCCCGTCCTCCCTCCAACCATCCCTCTCTCCCATCCTCCCTCCGACCATCCCTCTCTCCCATCCTCCCTCCCTCCCTCCAACCATCCCTCTCTCCCATCCTCCCTCCGACCATCCCTCTCTCCCATCCTCCCTCCCTCCCTCCGACCATCCCTCTCTCCCGTCCTCCCTCCAACCATCCCTCCCTCCCGTCCTCCCTCCGACCATCCCTCTCTCCCATCCTCCCTCCCTCCCTCCGACCATCCCTCTCTCCCATCCTACCTCCATCCCTCCAACCATCCCTCTCTCCCGTCCTCCCTCCAACCATCCCTCCCTCCCTCCAACCATCCCTCCCTCTCTTCCTCCCTCCCTCTAACCATCCCTCCCTTTCCTCCCTCCCTCCAACCATCCCTCTCTTCCTCCCTCCCTCTAACCATCCCTCCCTTCCTCCAACCATCCCTCCCTTCCTCCCTCCCTCCAACCATCCATCCCTCTCTTCCTCCCTCCTCTAACCATCCCTCCCTTCCTCCCTCCCTCTAACCATCCATCCCTCCCTTCCTCCCTCCCTCTAACCATCCCTCCCTTCCTCCCTCCCTCCAACCATCCATCCCTCCCTTCCTCCCTCCCTCTAACCATCCCTCCCTTCCTCCCTCCCTCTAACCATCCCTCCCTTCCTCCCTCCCTCCAACCATCCATCCCTCTCTTCCTCCCTCCCTCTAACCATCCCTCCCTTCCTCCCTCCCTCCATCCCTCCCTCCCTCCAACCATCCCTCTCTTCCTCCCTCCCTCCAACCATCCATCCCGCTCTTCCTCCCTCCCTCTAACCATCCCTCCCTTCCTCCCTCCCTCCATCCATCCCTCCCTCCAACCATCCCTCTCTTCCTCCCTCCCTCCAACCATCCCTCCCTTCCTCCAACCATCCCTCCCTTCCTCCAACCATCCATCCCTCTCTTCCTCCCTCCCTCTTACCATCCCTCCCTTCCTCTAACCATCCATCCCTCTCTTCCTCCCTCCCTCTAACCATCCCTCCCTTCCTCCCTCCCTCCAACCATCCTTCCCTTCCTCCAACCATCCCTTCCTCCCTCCCTCCACCCATCCCTCCCTTCCTCCCTCCCTTTAACCATCCCTCCCTCTCTTCAACCATCCATCCCTCCCTCTAACCATCCCTCCCTCTCTTCAACCATCCATCCCTCCCTTCCTCCCTCCCTCCAACCATCCATCCCTCCCTTCCTCCCTCCCTCCAACCAACCATCCCTCCCTTCCTCCCTCCCTCCAACCATCCCTCCCTCTCTTCAACCATCCATCCCTCCTCTAACCATCCATCCCTCCATCCCTCCTCCAACCATCCCTCTCTCCCGTCCTCCCTCCAACCATCCATCCCTCCCTTCCTCCCTCCCTCCAACCATCCATCCCTCTCTTCCTCCCTCCCTCTAACCAACCATCCCTCCCTTCCTCCCTCCCTCCAACCATCCCTCCCTCTCTTCAACCATCCATCCCTCCCTCTAACCATCCCTACCTCTCTTCAACCATCCATCCCTCCTCTAACCATCCATCCCTCCTCTAACCATCCCTCCCTCCAACCATCCCTCCCTCCGACCATCCCTCTCTCCCATCCTCCCTCCATCCCTCCAACCATCCCTCTCTCCCGTCCTCCCTCCAACCAACCATCCCTCCCTTCCTCCCTCCCTCCAACCATCCCTCCCTCTCTTCAACCATCCATCCCTCCCTCTAACCATCCATCCCTCCTCTAACCATCCCTCCCTCCGACCATCCCTCTCTCCCATCCTCCCTCCATCCCTCCCATACTCCCGTCCTCCCTCCAACCATCCATCCCTCCCTTCCTCCCTCCCTCCAACCATCCATCCCTCTCTTCCTCCCTCCCTCCAACCATCCCTCCCTTCCTCCCTCCCTCCAACCATCCCTCCCTCTCTTCAACCATCCATCCCTCCCTCTAACCATCCATCCCTCCTCTAACCATCCCTCCCTCCAACCATCCCTCCCTCCAACCTTCCCTCCCTCTCTTCAACCATCCATCCCTCTCTTCAACCATCCATCCCTCCATCCATTCCCCGTCCCTCCAACCATCCCTCCCTCCTTCCAACAATCCAACCATTCCCCCGTCCCTCCCTCCCTCCAACCATCCAACCATCCCTCCCTCCTTCCAACCATCCCTCCAGATACTGTTTTCCTCACCTGTTTCCACATGTATGGCTGTGCATGGTTTATCCCTACGGCACAGATTGTATGTATAACAGCTAACCCCAGGCCGCTAGCGACAGCCAGTCTCATTCGTATCGGCATCAACGCATACACCATGTAGATGAAGAATATGGTGCACCAGACACCCTCCGACGCATCCCGGGGGTCACAGTCAAGGGTGACGGTCAAAACAATCCCACATAACAAGAAGATGACGATGTAACACAAAATAAACAGCTGTTGCTCATTACAGGACGTCCTATTGCACACCACCTCCAGGACAATCAACACAATCATGATGATCCCAAGAGTTACTCCCCTTGCCGGCAATGTGGCTCCCCCTAGGTAGTAGAAAATCAACAGCATGAGACTTATGACACAGAATATGGCCATGAGAATGGTGAGGTTATTTTGGTTGAGCTTGAAGAAATAACGCTGATACAGCAATTCCAGCTTGATGTTCTTGAACTTCTTGGAGCTGAAGACTTTGATGATGGAGAGCGAGTTGCAGCAGACGCTGCTGCTGATGACCACGTCCCCTTCCACACTAAACGGCTTGACTTTTGTCTGCTTGGCTCGCTTTTCCTGCTCCTCGTATCGCAGTTGGGCGCGGTCCCAAGCCGACACTCGCGCATGGGACCCACCAGTTGCTGGTCGAGCGTCCAGCGGCGACACCTTACCACTCTTGAGGCCAAAATGACTGGCCAGGCCATTGCCGGTTCCCTTGTTTCCTTCATTTTGATTGGTGCTCATGATGATGTGACAGAATCAGTCACATCGTGTGTGGCGTGGAGTGAGTTGGCCATGGAAACTGATGAACAACACCTTCAGTAGCCTGGAACAGAAATATTGGCTATCAGCAAATTCAAAAAAGTTTATAAGTGAGAGAGTCAACAACAACAACAACAACAACAACAACAACAACAACAACAACAACAATCCACTTATACATCCTCATGCAATGTAAGCCCTGAGGCACACAAGAAAGGGATCAGCTCAGCATCTTCATTCAGCGAAAGTTGCTTGAAAACTTCAGTCTTTCTTCGGCGATTAAAGATCTGGAGAAACTCTTCGTATGCATGGCCTGTTCAACCCACCAAGTTATAAATATAAGGTTGCCTTTTTCAACAATAGGTTGCATTGGTGCATGTATTATAAAGCTAAATCCAGCCCTGCAACGGTCATCAAGGACCCAAATTCTCAGGAACATAAAACCTCTATCCCATCAGTGCTGTAAATCCTGTATTAAGGACTTCATCACACTATAAAATCTTCATGTTTTCCACAGAAGTCATCTTCACTGTCAACTGTTCATAATTAGTTGCGTTACTAATAGTATCTCCCTTCCCAAGCCTCTTGCGTGTGTGCCACTAATTTGGTAACATTTGCAACCTAAATTACCATTCTGCAACCTGTATTTATTCCTGGGGGGCCACTTAGGTCCCTATAATAAATTAAAATGATTTGTTTCCACTCGGTGCATGAAGACATAAATATTAGGTTGCATCTTTCAATAATAAGCTGCACTGGTGCATGTTTTATAAAGGTGTAACGGACAGGCATAACAGAGAGGTGTAACAGGGAGGTGTAATGGACAGGTGTTGTAACAAACAGGGGCAATGGAATGATGTAACAGACAGGTGTACAGGGAGGTGTAATGGACAGGTGTTGTAACAAACAGGGGCAATGGACAGATGTAACAAACAGGTGTAACAGGGAGGTGTAATGGACAGGTGTTGTAACAAACAGGGGCAATCGACAGATGTAACAGACAGGTGTACAGGGAGGTGTAATGGACAGGTGTTGTAACAAACAGGGGCAATGGACAGATGTAACAGACAGGTGTACAGGGAGGTGTAATGGACAGGTGTTGTAACAAACAGGGGCAATGGACAGATGTAACAGACAGGTGTACAGGGAGGTGTAATGGACAGGTGTTGTAACAAACAGGGGCAATGGACACATGTAACAAACAGGTGTAACAGGGAGGTGTAATGGACAGGTGTTGTAACAAACAGGGGCAATGGACAGATGTAACAGACAGGTGTACAGGGAGGTGTAATGGACAGGTGTTGTAACAAACAGGGGCAATGGACAGATGTAACAAACAGGTGTAACAGGGAGGTGTAATGGACAGGTGTTGTAACAAACAGGGGCAATGGACAGATGTAACAGACAGGTGTACAGGGAGGTGTAATGGACAGGTGTTGTAACAAACAGGGGCAATGGACAGATGTAACAGACAGGTGTACAGGGAGGTGTAATGGACAGTTGTTGTAACAAACAGGGGCAATGGACAGATGTAACAAACAGGTGTAACAGGGAGGTGTAATGGACAGGTGTTGTAACAAACAGGGGCAATGGACAGATGTAACAGACAGGTGTACAGGGAGGTGTAATGGACAGGTGTTGTAACAAACAGGGGCAATGGACAGATGTAACAAACAGGTGTAACAGGGAGGTGTAATGGACAGGTGTTGTAACAAACAGGGGCAATGGACAGATGTAACAGACAGGTGTACAGGGAGGTGTAATGGACAGGTGTTGTAACAAACAGGGGCAATGGACAGATGTAACAGACAGGTGTACAGGGAGGTGTAATGGACAGGTGTTGTAACAAACAGGGGCAATGGACAGATGTAACAGACAGGTGTACAGGGAGGTGTAATGGACAGGTGTTGTAACAAACAGGGGCAATGGACAGATGTAACAAACAGGTGTAACAGGGAGGTGTAATGGACAGGTGTTGTAACAAACAGGGGCAATGGACAGATGTAACAGACAGGTGTACAGGGAGGTGTAATGGACAGGTGTTGTAACAAACAGGGGCAATGGACAGATGTAACAAACAGGTGTACAGGGAGGTGTAATGGACAGGTGTTGTAACAAACAGGGGCAATGGGCAGATGTAACAAACAGGTGTAACAGGGAGGTGTAATGGACAGGTGTTGTAACAAACAGGGGCAATGGACAGATGTAACAAACAGGGGCAATGGGCAGATGTAACAGACAGGTGTAACAGGGAGGTGTAATGGACAGGTGTAAGTACACTGTAACAGGGAGGTGTAATGGACAGGTGTTGTAACAAACAGGGGCAATGGACAGATGTAACAGACAGGTGTAACAGGGAGGTGTAACAGGCAGATGTGACGGACAGGTGTAACAGGGAGGTGTAACGGACAGGTGTTGTAAGAAACAAGTCTAACTGACAGGTGTAACAGACAGGTGTAATGGACAGGTGTAAGTACACTGTAACAGGGAGGTGTAATGGACAGGTGTTGTAAGAAAACAAGTCTAACGGACAGGTGTAACAGACCGGTGAAATGGACAGGTGTAAGTACACTGTAACAGGGAGGTGTAACGGACAGGTGTTGTAAGAAACAAGTCTAACTGACAGGTGTAACAGACAGGTGTAATGGACAGGTGTAAGTACACTGTAACAGGGAGGTGTAATGGACAGGTGTTGTAAGAAAACAAGTCTAACGGACAGGTGTAACAGACCGGTGAAATGGACAGGTGTAAGTACACTGTAACAGGGAGGTGTAACGGACAGGTGTTGTAAGAAACAGGTCTAATGGACAGGTGTAACAGAGGTGTAACAGACAGGTGTAACAGACAGATGTAACAGGGAGGTGTAACAAACAGGTCTAATGGACAGGTGTAACAGAGGTGTAACAGACAGGTGTAACAGACAGATGTAACAGGGAGGTGTAACAAACAGGTCTAATGGACAGGTGTAACAGAGGTGTAACAGACAGGTGTAACAGACAGATGTAACAGGGAGGTGTAACAAACAGGTCTAATGGACAGGTGTAACAGAGGTGTAACAGACAGGTGTAACAGACAGATGTAACAGGGAGGTGTAACAAACAGGTCTAATGGACAGGTGTAACAGACAGGTGTAACAGACAGATGTAACAGGGAGGTGTAACAAACAGGTCTAATGGACAGGTGTAACAGAGGTGTAACAGACAGATGTAACAGGGAGGTGTAACAAACAGGTCTAATGGACAGGTGTAACAGAGGTGTAACAGAGGTGCAACAGTCAAGTGTTAGAAGACGACAATGATCAAAATGTCAATGAGGGGTAAAGGGGAGACCAACCCTGCACAGCCCCAGCCCATTTTATCAAATCATGTCAATTTTACCCTCAATAAAACATACAGAACAAAATATTAATTATAACTTGATCTGTCCTTTGACAGTGTTAGACCTTAAGTGGGATCTTCAGATCCTCGCGGGTTTTAGTAACTTAATTTAATCCCCTCTACATTATATACTTTTTCACATTACGAAATTCAGTCTCAATTTAGAACACTGTTCAAGTGACTATTATTTTCAACCATGACAAAACATCTCACAAAAACCGTACCACACTTCAACATCTCACTCAATTATACCTTAGGCCAGTTGTGTGCCCTTCCGAGAATCCTAATGAAGAGCTTGACGCAACACGTGCAAGGCCGCAGTGTCGACACAAAGACACAATATTGTAAACACATAAACTCCAAACCATAAACTGTTGAGGCCGACACAATCAAGCTAAACTGTCCTTCATGTATTTATAGACTATGAGGGGACACAGTTGTGTGGGGAACTGTGATTTATTGGGATTGGTCGACCACCACTGCAATACTGTACAAGTTCAGTTTGATTAAAACGCATGGCGTTGGTCATGCTTACAGATAGCTCATTGCCAACTATCTAGACTAACACTGAATCAATGAAAACATGTCTTTCAAATAATTATATATTTTTTCAAGAACCTTTCCTCTTCTGCTGTTTTCATATGTGGAATCAAGCAAACTAGACTTGGTTAGTTTGATCTAGACTTGCCTAGGCTTTTAGTAAAAAAAATAATACATAAAATACATAAATTCCACACTCATGGTGAGTGAGTGAGTGGTTTAATGCCACTTTGGATAGTATTCCAGCTATATCATGACATGTCAGCTTAATGTGGGAGGAAAGCCTGAAGTCATGCAGGTCTCAAACGTTAACCACTTCGGTGAAACCCACGGGCACGGGTATGGTGAAGTCATTACTGAAGGGTCACCTGGTATGGAGGGTGTCAAACATGAACATACGACAACACACATCAATACACTGGAGTATGTTGACGATGTGATTAACAGATGAAGATCATGTCACACTGATTGGATGCTTTGATGAAACTGTAAAAGAGACCATGACTAAAAAAACCAATGAAAACTACAAGACTAAAGGTGTTAGAAACAGCTCCCCAAAACACATGCCTGAACACAACCAGCGATTTAGCCCATGCACGCGAAATGCAGGACAAGTAACTGTCAATGTGGGTAGAAAATGGTTCATTCCAAATGCAATGAAACTTACAAACTTAATGACTTACAAACCTTTAAAGCACTAGGCATCTATCTGATCAAAAGCGGCCAACTCGGGCGCATCTTAAAAAGTACAACAAACAAGCTGTCAATAAACCCTAAAATTATAAACCTATAAAAACACTAAAAACTCACAAAAACTCCATTTAGTCCATAACACACACAGACACACAGACACACAGACACACACACCTTTTGTATGACATATTTCACAATTCCAAATTTGGTCTCCAAATTAAGTAAGCAACCCTAGAAACTCAGATATAATTCACACAACTCATGAATGTGTTATGAATACTACATGTACTAATATCTAGTATTTCATCAAATAAAAAAAATAATTAAAATTTCATTTTTTGTGTCTGTAGGTACTTGGGAGCAATACAATGAAGGCAGGAGTTTGATAAAAAAAATAATTAAAATTTCATTTTTTGTGTCTGTAGGTACTTGGGAGCAATACAATGAAGGCAGG